CGCAACTACGAGACATCGTCGCAACATGACACACGAGAAAGACCAGTTAACGGGAAGAGAGAACGAGCGCTGGTGATGCGGGTGGTTTGGCGGGGTCGAGACGCGTAGTCGAAAGGGTAGTCGTGTGCGCTGACGTTCACCCGAAACAGAGGGTAGCTCGCGTCGAAAGAAGTAGGGTGCGTGGGGAATAAGAGACCGGCATGCTTTGGACGAGACTGCTTGGGATGCGCTATGGTTATGGTTTCGCGTCGATCGAACTTCGCTAGTTTGGATTATCTGTCGCGTGGAGAGGAATGTGACAAAGAAAACTTTGGAATTACTTTGAAACAAGAGAGACATTGGAAACTGAGATAAATCTTTCTAAAGCGCTGAACACGGATGCAGAACTAACAAAAAGCAAACACGACTCGAAATTTTGACCCTATGTTAAATCTTGAATTCTACACCGCAGTAGGAGCTAAGATAACAAAGTAGGTTTAATTCTAATGATATAATTTACTCCTACTTTGACCCTGATGATGTTTCCGCTTTCGCTTTCTTTAGCGTCAATGTAGGTTGTATAATAGTAGGATCTTAGGAAGTAAAATAGGTTCAGTTGCAAACCTCTACTGAAGCTTAGATCCTACATAGAATATATGTATTTTATAGAAATATTTAAAAAATTTAATAAATAACGAAACAGAAACGCTAAATAGCATACAAAATATATATTTTATTTGTTGCATATATTTCAGACATCATCAGGATCAATGTAGGAGTAAATTATATCATTAAAATTAAACTTACTTTGCTATCTCAGCCCCTATTGCGGTGTAGAATTCAAGGTTCAACGTAGGGTCAGAATTTCGACTCGGAAATGAGTGTCAATATCGTTAAAATAGGTTTCACCTAGGTTATAGGTTATCTAAGTAGGCTCAAACTATTTTTAAGAGTGTCAAAGTAGCGTCAAAATTTTGACAAGGTAGAATTAAAGATTCAAAAGAGAAATTAATGAGTATCAATATCGTCAAAATAGGTTTTATCTAAGCTATGAACTAAGTAGGCTATAAACTAAGTCTAAGTAGGCGCAAACTATCCTTAAGAGCGTCAAAGTAGCATCAAAATTTCGACTCGGAAATTTTTGCCTTTTAGAGAGAAAAAGATAAATAACGAGAAGAATGTTTAGATCGTTGAAATTTCAGCAAACTATTTGCATTTAATTTTTCTTATTATACAGTTTATGTTAATTAACTCAGCATAGTTCATATAGCTTAATTTACTAGAAATATTTGAGGGTGATTCTACCTTTTTTGTATTTTTTGCACTTCAATTAATTGAAATGTTATAGAATGTAATTTTTAATATAACAAATTTACAATCTGCATTTATATAGCTTCTATAATTCAAAGGCAACACTAGTTAAGTACTATTTAAATAAAGTAGTTAGATACTATTTAAATAAAGCCGCAACGCTAAGTATAAGTTGAAACAGAGAAAATGAAGAAGAAAGAACTGCATTAAAGCAGCCTGTAAAAATGTAATATAATTAAATACAGTTTTTAAGTAATTTCTGAACACATTTATGTTAGTTTTGTCTAGTAATTAAAGAGTAAAATTGCTTGGGTTCTTAATCAAAATGTGACATTTTTTCTGCAATTACTACGCACGAAAGGTGCGCAAAATTTGAACCCATTTATTATACGAAAATAGAACAAAAATAGACATGAAACTATTCAATTGTTTAATAATTAAATCTGTTATTCATAAAATGGACCGGTTTGGTCTAGTAGTTTCATTCTTTGTGCATAATTTTCAACTTAAAATGTTTAATTCTAATGAGAGTTACGGTAGAAAAAATCTTTTCTTCATGATAAATATATTATAATACGTGCGCATTATAAAATGAATATAAAATGAAATTAATATTACGGATAATTGGCAAGAATTGATTTACATATTTTATAGTGAAATGCCCCAACTATTAAGTCCAATTCTTGCCCAGTTTCTATGCAATATAAGGAGAGAAGACAGTACAGATAGATAAGTAACAGAAAATAAAAACGAAGCAAGAAGATAGCAAATAGAAAGATGCAAGTTAATAAAATAGGAAAGGTTACTTTTTAAAAGTAATTTATTATTATCACTCGTTATTCATAAAAAAGTATGTTGTTACCGTTACATTACATTATTTAGACTGTTACATTATTAGACAAAAGGGGAGAGAGAGAAATGAA